ATTTATCCCTCTTTAGCTGTCATTAGGCCAAGTCATGCATATTCATATCTTCTAATCTTTTTTTCCTCACATCAGTTCCTTCAGTCTTTTAATCATTTGTGTTGCTCTCCTCTAAATTACCTCCAATTTCTCTACACATCTCTGGTTCTCAGGCACCATGAAGATGCTGTTTAGACACATCTGCCTCTGAGGACACAAGTTCATAGAAGGCTTGTTAATTCCTTTATGGTGGAGACATTTCATTTTGCTGCCGGACACCCTGATTTTAAACAGAGTTTAAAATAGAGGGCACACAATTATATCCTTACAGAGTGCAACAAAAGGTGACTGCCACTCAGCTGTCAACTTCTCGTCTATCCCTCATCACTGCAGTATCTGCTGCTCTTCCAGCACTACTCCAGGCAACTTGTTGAAATGTTTGTCCTCTCCTCCCTTCTTGTGCCTCCTTAGGGCGAGAGGGAAGCTTCGTGCAACTGGTTGTCTTGTTTTCCCAGGCTTTCTGTTACTAATAAACACGTTGCTATGTTTTTTGATGTCAGAGGAAACAGATATAACTTTGGGCTTGGAGCAGAAAGTGGGAAAGTTTCCAGCGAGCATTGGTACGTCCGTGCTCTGGGCAGGCAGCAAATAGCTGCACATCCAGCAGCTTCACATCTTCCCCATCCCACGACGGCAGCTCCGTGCAGCCCCAGCAGGAGTTAGTACCAGTGGAAAACATGGCTTGTTATCCTCCAGATCCTCCCAACAGCTCACGCGGGAGGCATCACTTCCCTCCACCTTCTAGTGTAAGAAATGGGCACAAAAAGGTGACACAACCTGCACAAGGCCACGAGGGCCTGGGGGACGAGCCCAGGTGCAGACTGCTTAGGGTCTGGTAGAGATCTCTGCTTGTTCAGACAGCTCAGACCATCCTGGTTTCCAGACAGCAAAACCTCCATTACACAATATTTTTTTTGCATGAGTTTGCTGGAGCTGTAATAAGCTTATCAACAGGATAACTGTTAGGATAAATCCTACAATCTTGCCCATCAGTCAGGGAGAGAAATAAATAGAAAAAACAGTAAAATTCAGCTTTTCCAGATGTGTCAGCCGGCTGCAGGCTTTCCACTCCCTGACAAGCAATCAAGAGAACTCCTACAAGGAGCGCTCTGCGTCTGCTGCTCCAGGAAATTACCCACCTAGTCCAGGCTTCACATCACAGGTTGCTTCTTTTGGTTAGACCGATTATATGCAGCTGCAGTACCAGCAGCACTAAAATAGCTCCATAAACATGACCACACGAGCTGGCACACTGCTCCAATGCACTGGATCCAGTTATTTACCAAATCCTAGCTTAACACTTATGTCATTATCTGAACTGCCTTTCTGTCTTACGTAGATGGATCAGGAGCCTTTAAAGCACTGCTATTCCCTCTTTGTAACAAGGCTTGGAAGATGTTTTTTTGTAACACCACAGACCACTTTTATAAGCGCTGTAAGGCTTTGTATGAGCACAATTTGGAAAATTAAAAGTCAGCCAGAGCACAGCTTGTCAACTTGCCTCGCAAGCAAATCCTGGTTCCTTCCCTGCCACTGCCCTCCAGCCTGGTGGGGAAAGAATTAATGACAGCAGAAACAATTAGACACCTGAAGAAGAGCTTTTAGAAAGGCAGAGAAGAGCAGGAAGATCGCAAACTCAACGCTCTTCCAGGAGAACAGGAGGCTCAGCTGAAAATCTCCTTCCCAGAGGCTCTCAGAAAGGGATGGGGACAGGAGGGGAGGCAGTGATGGATAAGATGCCATACGAGCACGGCAGAAGGAGCTGCAGTGTGAGGAACACAAGCAGTGAGATTTACTGTCCCCAGGCATAAGCTTGCACTCCAGAGTGACACAAAGCAATTAAAGCACAAGGAGTTTTGGAGAGCTGCAGTTGCCTTGGGGGCAGAGGGTGCTGATTTAGAGAGAAGGCTCCTTCTCAAAGCTCCTCTGCGGGGATGTCTCTGCTGAGCGAGCCCCTGCCAGGCCTGCCCAGGGAAGATGGACACACAGGTGAGATGAAGAGCACAGACCTTTCTCTGCTTGTGCCACACATTCACCTCTGGGAGAATCACCAATTCAGTGTTTGGAAGATGCTGCCAACAAGGCACGTTAATCATCTGCCATTGGAGCTATTAAAAATAAAAATGTGACAATAAAGCCTGACCTGTCACACAAAGGGAGACAGGGAGGGGGGGGGAGGTAGGAAGAAAGTGTAGGCTCTGGAAATCCAGGACCTGAAAGATTTAACTGCCAGGACTGCCTTTGGCAGAGAGAAATAAAACCAGACTGGTCACCTGAGGAGTACAGTAGAGCAAGAGTGATGTCTTGGGGCTGTTCCAATTCATGGCTAAAACTTCTCCCCACAGCTCCCAGCAGTTGGGTGCAGAAGCAACAACCCTGTTGCTGCACTGGTGTCCCCCACGTGCTGGCTCCCCACCCCAGAGAGACTAAAGAGACCTGAGAGGGGGGGGAGGTAGGAAGAAAGTGTAGGCTCTGGAAATCCAGGACCTGAAAGATTTAACTGCCAGGACTGCCTTTGGCAGAGAGAAATAAAACCAGACTGGTCACCTGAGGAGTGCAGTGGAGCAAGAGTGATGTCTTGGGGCTGTTCCAATTCATGGCTAAAACTTCTCCCCACAGCTCCCAGCAGTTGGGTGCAGAAGCAACAACCCTGTTGCTGCACTGGTGTCCCCCACGTGCTGGCTCCCCACCCCAGAGAGACTAAAGAGACCTGATTGACTCCATCTCACCAAACCGAGAATCAAGTCAAAACATCCATGCACAGCTCCTGCAGGAAGGTCCATCCCACGTTTGGTTTTGCCACAGTCACCCAATTCTATAAAGCTCTGAGCAGCCTGTGCATCTCATGGGAGCTTGGGCACTTCCCAGCATGGTGGGCCTTGGCGCACACCAAGCACAAATTTTCATTCAGCATCTTTGTCAGAAATAAAATTTATTTAGGTCTATCTTCCTTCCTATCCACCATCAGAGCTATTTGTTCCACGGGCTCTGAAAATGCAAAAGCCATTATTGTAAAGATGGTACTTTTCATGGTAAGTATAAGTTCCTACTTTTAGAAAATAAGTACCTATTTAACTAAGAGCTTTATAATAGATCAAGCAGTGCACAGAGTACAAAAAAGTGAGAGCTATGATCGAAAGGAACCAGTTTAGTGGTAGGATTGGGCATGAAAATAGTTATCTGCTTGGTATCCTTAATATTAATTTATTCAAGACCCTCATCTCTGGATAAATACAAATTAAAAATTAAAAGCCCTTGTAAAGTAATGCACGAAACTAAAGCACCACAGAGAAATTTGGAGAAGCAAATAAAACTGCCATCGTAAACTCCAAAGGCACTGCAGAAGCAGGGCAGAGGGGAAGGCAACTTGGAAATAAAAAAAAAAAACCCAGAAAACCAAACCAACCGCAACAGGAAAGGAAGAAAGAGGAGATGGTGACGGTGGCAGGAGCAAGAGGGGGGCAACAAAAACCACCACTTAAAAAAATAAGTTCATAACTTCACCGCGGTAGGGGACAGAATGAAATATTTAAACCACCAAGTTTGAAAATGTAACCCAGACCTCCCGGTGAGTGACACCTTCTGTTCACACCAGGCAAACGGGCTCCTGCCGCAGGGCTCCCGTGCTCCGGCCCCTGGGAATAACCCCTGAGGTTGCACTGGGTTCAGAGCTCAGGCAGAGCTGCACAGAACTGACTGGTGTCATCAAACTTCAGGTGAGGTGTGAAATACTCTGTAAAGCAGCATTTTTCAAGGCCAGCAAGAGCCAAAAATGAGCCCGTATCGATAAATCAATAGTATTGTGTAAAAGTTTTAGGCAATAATAATATTGGGCCATACTAAATGGCATTCTGGGCAAGTGCAGAAGGTGGTCAGAGAGAGTGGCAGGTCCCCAGCATAGGATGTCCCTGCTAAATAATAATAATATTGGGCCATACTAAATGGCATCCTCGGCATGTGCAGAAGGTGGTCAGAGAGAGTGGTCCCCAGCACAGGACAGGAGCGACTGTGGTGGGTTGACCCTGGTGTGATTTTGTGATTTGGGACACTAAAACGTGCAGCAAAGTGTTTTCCTGATTCCCAATCTGGTCCATAACTGTGACGAGGGATCAACAGAAATTGGCCTGTCCAGGGTAGGACAGAAACTTTAGCCTCCAAAGGAGGGGAAAGGGTGAAAGCAACCTTCCCCTTTTGGGGGCTGTGGGGAGAACTGGCCCTCCAAACGGAGAGATTTGGGCTTCAGACCACCACAACTCACTGACCATGAAAGCTGACTTGCAAGAGCTGCACTGAAGGCAAGTGGCAGGATTTTAAATACCACCAGGGGAGTCTTCTGGTCCCAAGGACAATCATCAGCCTCCAAATAATCATTGCTTCTAGCTTTTATCTGGAGACAGTGGTGGGCAAAGTAATACACTCAGTTTTTTTAAGTCAAGAGCAGACTGCATAGCTCAGACGGTTGAGGAAAGGCTAGCTCTAATAAATATATAATACCCAAGGGGTTATCTAAGCAGCCAATATAGATACAGAATCTTTTTTTTTTATGTACTGAAGTTACACTCATTCAGTATGTGGCATCAAAAGAAATACAGATTTTCTGACAGATGTTTATTTCCCACTGTTACTAAAACGCATCCCCTTCTTAAAGCAGCGTCTCACACGAGTCTAATCCTTCCTGATTTATCTCTGGCCGAGCTCGCAGCCAACAACTCGAGGCCCTAGCTTTGTACCATGCATGTCACAGACAAGATTTTGATTCTAAATGATCAGATATGGGGATCATATTTTGAAATTACACACATTTTAGGCATAGTCTGCATTCCCTTTTCTCTTTTTTTATCTGAACTGCCCATCCCATCTCCTACGCACCCTCATGTTTAAAATTGCATGGGGATGGTTTCTATTTTAAAAGAGGCATTCATGAGAAGGGAGCAGAGTGAGGCTGCTGAGATTATTTTTACCTGAGCTCTGATTGCAGCGTCCTTCTTAATCCACTTTATCACTGTTTCATACACCAGCTCCTCTGCTTTGGTGTTCAGGCTGTCGTTGGACATGTAGGAAATGAAGTCGTCTTTTGAGATATTAAGGATCTCTTCTTGGTTTGCCACCTCTGGGAAAATCTGCAAGGCGTATGCTTTGGCCATGTTGTAGAGTTCAGTGCACTGCATGGCTTCAGCCATGGCTAATATTCCTAAGCAGTTGCTAGCAGTCAGCTGTTTTTCTAAAAGGAAAAAAAAAAATAAAAAAAGAATGTGAGAATTATTAAAAGCAAGATTCACATTTGTACCAGGATCATGAAAAAAAAAATAAGTGCCACAGACAAGCCTCCAACTCTAATTAATTTCAGGGACTTAATTAGGAGGAGCACTCTGGGTTACTTTAGAACTGGGGCTTAAAGTACAAAATCAAAGTCTGTCTTAACAGCTGAGCTGGGGATGGGGAGAGAAAGGCACTTTCTGAGTTTGCTTTTTGTCTGAGCCTTCCCAAGGCACCAGGGAAACCTACTGACATCAGAGTGTCTGGGGCTTCCCAAGGGAGGGGAACCCAGCCAAGAGACTCCTGCTATTCCTACCGCCCACAATCTTGCTTTAAGAAACAGCAAAGATGTAAACACCAGTGCAGACACTTCAGAATAAATGCAAACAGCACTAAGGACATTTCTGAGGATGCTGCAGTCGCTTTATGATAATTTTTGCCCTGTTCAGCTACTAAGCTACTTCAAATAATAATAAAAAAAAAAAAATCCTCCCCCCTCTATTTTTTTTTTTTTTTCAAAGGAACTTTGTTGCTGCTGAATGTGATGACATCCCTTATGCAAAACACAGATTATACCAACGCCTTCTGTTAAATGTTGTGTAGTGGGTTTCAAAGAAAATCATGCACAGAGGAGACAGCATTATCTCCTACCCGGCAAACAGAAGTAATGGCACAGTGTGTAGCTCTGAGTTAAAAGTGTGCTACACCATACATCTGACTGTACTTTTTTCCTTCTCAGCTATTCTGAAGAAAAACCCACCAATTTCAGACATTTGTAAGAGGAACTCTCAGATTCTTCTCCACTTTTGTTAACCAAGCCGCTATTAATAGGCAGAATATATTCTTTTAAGATATAGGACCAAGAAAAAAAAATAAAATAAGAGAGAGACAGACTGCAATAGATCACCAAAGCATCAGTACCGGTGGCAGGTTTCTGCACTGCTGGAGGAGAAGTATATCACGTTGGGGCAGTGTCATACCCTGGTGCACTATTTCAGAGCACTGGACAGGAATGTGTGATAGCCCCACATCTCTTCAAACAAAACTCCCATCAGACTGCCTTTGCCAGAAACACTCAGGGATTTTTCCCTATACCCAGCTTCTGCCTTCATCAGATTTAAAACCTGCACACTGTCTATATGTGGCTTCTATTAAAATGAGATTATGACCTAGTTTGTTTTTTTTTTTTTAACTTGGCATGAGATTAGGAGGCTTGTGTCTTGTTTGTTTTTTTTTCCCCTAACTCTTTTTATTTTCTTCTACAGATCCAGCAGTCTTAAAACTAGGTTATCTCATTTTGCATCAGTTGATTGTACTGACTCCAAGGAGCCCATTTCCTCAAGCAGACCGGAGCAGCAGCACTGTTTGCTGTCAGTAGATTTTGTCACTCAAAGACTGTCCAGAGACAGGCTGCAAACTGATAGCTATGAAGCTCAATGCTCCTGAAATTTCTTCTTTTCCAGAAAAAAAAGAACCAAAACCCTCTTCCAGGTTCCTTGGTTCTGTGTGTTGGCACAGTTTCATGTATACCTATGGCTGGGGGTAAAATAATCATCTAACTGAGCCCCAAACTCTCAAGTCAAAGAAAAATTGAACACTGCTCCACCTTATCCTCATAGGGTTTATAAAAAAGGTATCAATCAGGTTTGACTCATTAAGCAGACGTTTACTAGCACATGATGGAAAAGAACTTCAGGAATGAGTCTTTGCCTTCAAGGGACTTGGTTTGCCTCTATCAGGAGAGATTTCCATACCATCCCCAGCTGAGCCGGTGGTGTGGGGCAGAAAAAGCACTGGTCAGGACTGGTTTCTTCTGATCTGGACAGGTTTTTCTTCTCATCTGGACAGGCTGGGTGACAGATGCAGTCCGGTATGCTGATGTCCAAGCAGTTCCACCTGGTCCCTTTGAGCTTCACTCCTTCCTCTTGCTAAGAAACCACTCAGTGGCAGACCCAAAGGATGACATCCCTGTTTGATTCCGCAAGTATCGCAAGAGCATTTAGAGGGGTCCCAGGGAGATGCAGGCTGGGGGACACTTAGGGGGCTGGTGACACACTTCTTTGCACTTCATCACCTTTGATGTGATGAGCACCACAGCAAGGCAGACACAGTGATGTGAACTAGCAGGATTCATTGCAGGTGAGCAAGAGAGAGTTTGGGGCAACAGCTATAAGAGGCAGGGAAAATATCTATCCTGTGAACAGTAAAAACATGCAATTTTTTACCTCCAACACAAAACTTGGGGGCAATATTGATCTTTCTTGACTTCAGCTGTCGATGGTGCAACTGCGCAGTCACATTAGTATCCCTGTATGCTCATAAGCAAACAATTCGAAGAGGCAATCTGGAAATATTTTGGATTAATCTGGTAATATTTTGGATAACAACTTCAGGATGAGCAGAACCGTGCCTGTTACTTTTCACTGACTATAAAGGTACCCTGCATGACTACTTACATATAGATTTCTGCTATATGATACAGCCCATCCCAAGTGACTGCAGTCTGGGGGCACTTCTGGATAGAATCATAGAATGGTTTGGGTTGGAAGGGACCTCAAAGATCATTGAGTTCCAACCCCCCTGCCATGGGCAGGGACACCTCCCGCTAGAGCAGGTTGCGCAAGGCTACATCCAGCCTGGCCTCGAACACTTCCAGGGATGGGGCATCCACAGCTTCTCTGGGCAACCTGTTCAGTGTCTCACCACCCTCATAGTAAAAAATTTCTTCCTGAGATCTAATCTGAATCTTTTTCCTTCCAATTTTAATCCATTTCCCCTTGTCCTATCATTACCCTTCCTGGCAAAGAGTCCTTCTCCAGCTCTTCTATAGGCACCCTTCAGGTATTGAAAGGCCGCTATAAGGTCTCCCCGGAGCCCTCTCTTCTCCAGGCTGAACAATCCCAGCTCCCTACTGACACGACAGACAGCTAAGGCCCAGTTCTGCTCCATCTGCTCCTGAGTCATTCTCCTTTGGACGCCGACACGTTTACAATAATTGCTGGTTTTGCCACAGTGACACTGGACTTGTAACAACGCATTTTTATGGAGTCTCACCTTGAGTCCATCCAGAACACGCCTGCTGACTACTAAGCTACTCCCAGTGCTCATGGACAGTTGATAACAGACTCCTGAGTGGACTTTTAAGGATATCAGATGTAACTGAGCAGGCTCTCACTAATTTGAGACAGTGCTGGATAGCATATTTGTTTCTATGTATGTCACAAAATTGCAGATCAGCAGCTGGTGTTCTCCACTTGTGTGAGACGTGATTTTGGAGTGGGATCCTATGCAGAGCCATCATGAAACAATCAGCCAGGCAGACTGCTAAGTCTGCACTTCTGGGAGTGGGACGACTTGAGATAAAGTCAGAGTTGGATGGTCTGTAGGAAGGATTACTCAGTGAGATTCTGCTAACAGCATGATGGAAGCTCAGTGGTTGATACAAGCCCCATCTGCGTGCATAAAGGACTGTATTTTCACTTAGAGATGATTTCTAGATGATGACTTGGTTATCACTAAAAGTAGCATAAAACATGCATTTCCTCATCATATTCTTTGTACATTCTGATTGGGATCTTATTCCTCAGGTATTCCTACTAGTGGGAAAATAATGTGAAGATGAGCGGGAGGTGGAAGACTTCTGGATGCATTAATTGTCCAAAAGATTTCACTTTCCCTGTGAGAATGTTCCTTATTTCTCCTTTTTCCAGATATGGTTGATGCTTCAGTTTCTCCAGCGCTAGGCAGCATGGTTCTCCACCTGACTCAATATCCTCTACCTGTGATGAACAAAAAATTAGCCATAATACTTTCTCTTGAATTCATAAGGACCATAAAGGCCTCTTCTTCCCTCAGGTGCATAGGCCTGTTCATTCAGGTCTCATCACTGGTCCATCGTTCAGTTCTTCTCATAGCTCCCCCTCATACTCTTTGCAGACTTCATCTTTGTGCCCTTTGCCCAGGAGACTAAGAAAATTCAGAGCTCCTGCTCCTTCATGTTCTGCTCCATGAATCTAAGAGATTCCACCAACTTCTTTAGACCTAAGGAAGAATATTTCTATTTTATCAGCAGCAGCCTGCAGTTCAAGTTCAGAATTTGTTCACTCCTGTGATGGGGGTCCCTGCATCATGGACCCAAACGGTGATACTGAAGAATCACCTGAAATTCAATTTGAGCCATAACTGTGATGATAGCGTAAAAACAAATATGAAAAAAGAAAAAGGAAAAAACCTCAAGTCTTCAGCCATATGGATGGAGGAAATACCTATGATGCCCTGACCGGTTTGCAAACATTTGCCCAGTTATCATATGGTGCCTGCAGGAACTTGTCAGCATCGTTGCATCAGTCGGCACACAACTGTTGTCATTTCTCATGGTCTAGACAAAAGCAGAGGAGACAGCATGTGGGGGAGAGAGAGAAAGTGGCTATAATTAGCCCAGTGAAGCTGGTTAAGAAATCTCCTGCTGAAATGAAACAATTTTCCTGACTCATTTGCAGTATGTTTCCACCAGAAAGTGCAAGTAGATTTGGGGCACCTCTATCCAACGCTGCTGAGAGGCCCAGGACAGAGACACAAGAGCTGCCTGGCCATCAACCAGTTAGGATCCCGCTGGAGCTTCATGGCTGAAAAAGCCATGAACTTTGAGATGTCTGTGCTCTGCTCAACAGACTTACCAGTTTGGGGCTTTTACTTCTTTGGGCGTCTTTGGATGTCACTTCTCTCACTATTTAGATGTGGCCACTGATGGGAAAGAATCACCGTTTATACTGGTGAATCCTTCACAAACCCTGGAAAAAAGCCCTGATTTTTACCACATTTTTGCTTTGTGGGAGCAGAGGTGGCTGGGATGAAAAGAGAAAACACAGCTACAGAGAAGAAAAAACGTCTTTCCCTAAACTTTTAAGATGGCAAATGCTCTACTATCTCTGTAAAGCAATGCAGTCACAGCTATAAATAAAAATAAGCAATTACACTCCATGAATTCTCCAAATGAGAATACAAAATTCTGGTGACTCCCCATATATCACTAAACTTATAACCAACTCTACTATTTCATACCATAACATGGTTCACTGAATTCAAATATTAACTATCGGAAAAGAGAAATCTCACATTGATTTAGTGAAATAAACGTATTTTGGTTTTGGGGCTGAATCTTCAGAGATAGCGCGACTTAAACGTATCTGTTCCTGGAAAGGCCATAAGATCTAATCACTTTAAAAGGTGATGAAGGGATGTGGGGGGGGAAGCAATGCCAGAGCCAGAGCCTTTAGTCAAGCTGCACAGTCAACATGGTGGGATTGCAAAGCACAGATTTCATTTCCCATTACCCACTCATTTAAGAACAGACTTTTATACAGGGGACATATAAAAAGCTGGAAAGAAGAGAAGGATAAAATACCACAGATTCTTTTCCAGTGCTTTTATTGTACCAGCCTGGTCACACCACTCACCTTGCCAGGTCAGCTTAGTCATGAAAATTAACACAGCAGTAAACTGGACTCACTTGACTTTGTTTTGGTTTTTGTTGTTTTCTTTTTTTCCATGAGAGCAACATTTTCTAAACTCCCATCTTTCACACTCTGCAATTCTAGATGTCAATTTAAAATGAGAACTGCCCAAGAAGAATCTATAGTTCATGAGGGTTGAAGATATATTTGGGGTCCAGAGAGACGCTAAATGTCCAGTGAGAACGACATCTTCCATACCAAGCTAAGCAAGCCTGAATAGAAATCAGATGCCCAAAAAAGGTATTTGGAACTTGGACATGGGAAGTCAGTCATGTAAGATCAAGCTCACACGTTCTGTATTAATAAGTTTGTGCTAATAATTTGCAAATTATTACCGTTTCATTAACTGATACTATAGCTGTGTTAGTGAAGGAGTGGCATGTGACACAGGCAGGAATTCAAACCAATGTGTGTTTCATTTGAGCTCCAGTTCTGGCTCCTCTTCTGCCATAACACAAATGGGGCTGGATGGTTCCAATTCAGACCAGTAAATCTTAGTTAACTGAGCTGGTCACCTTGGACTGTTTTGGAATAGTCTATATTGAAAAATATACAGAAAATGCAAGGAGCAGGCTGATACGGCGCTCTGGACAAGAAGAATGGGCTTCTCGTTCATGGCCATGAGACAATGGACAGATGCACTGGTGATGATGTTCATCTGAACACTCTCACTGGGGCAAACACCTCCCGTGCAGACAGGGCACACCAGTTACCAAAGGAGGGCCCAGCAACCTTTCATTCCCATTCACCATTTGGGGTGACACATATCCATCAGACCATAACTCTGTGTGAAAGAACAAACCCCGGGAACATTCAGCCTGGAGTTCAACCAGATCTTGTTTACAAGCACATTGGACACGTGAAAGACTTTCTCATGGATGCAAGACAATTGTTGATCCTGACTCCTCTGTGAGAGTCCACCCCCAGCTCTTTCAGGGCTTGACCAAGCTGGCCTGATGTAGCACCCAACGTTTGCTGTCACAGTTATAAGCAATCTGTGCCTTACAGCCTGGTGTCTGTGCAGCGATCAACCGCTGGGAAACAAAATGTCATCACTGATACCAAGTATGAACCAAGATCTACCCAAGATGTGAACACAACATTTTAAAGTCAAATCTCAACCCAAATAAATATTGATGTTTCTTTTTATTATATTATTATTTATTATTCTTGGGTTTCCTAATTATCTTTTAAGAGTTTTAGAAGGAAGGCATACAAACCTTAAACTGAAATCTTAAAACCTTATTAGAGGAAGTGATTCTTACCTAAAAACGAAACGCAGACTTTACAGAAAGTGTGAAACTGGAACTTGCTGGCAGCTTCCAGTAGGGTTTTTGCATTGGCTGAATCTATGATCAAAGAACCTGTATAAACAAACTCCAGGAGTAATTCCAGGACATCCGCAGTGAGGTTGGACATGGCCAATTCCAGCTTCTCCCCGCTTCTGCTACTGTCTCGTGGTGACCTGGTAACAGCAGACAATTAAATTACGGACATTACACTATCCCCTTTTTGTTGGCATTTATTGATTAGTGAGGGCTAGAAAATCGCTTTGCACCTCATTATATCTCTCCATTATTTTTGTTTACGGAACTGAAGAATATGAATTTTAAAATAACTGAACTTAAAAACTTTAACTGGATCTGAAAGAGAAGGATCTTAAAGCAAGTCTTACGAAAAATCTGTTTATTGCTACTCTGCATTTTCATGCAAAAACAGTTGCAAAAGAAAAGGAAAGGAAAGAAAGAAAAATGAATGAGCCAACATTAATGAAAATGAGGAACAGGATTAGCTTTCAAAGGGAAACAATACATTTTAACATCTTGGTTAACATCTCATCCTCTGTGCATAATATAACTGTTAAGGAAAAAACACTCCAATTTCAAGAGAAAAGGTCATCTGCTTTTTCAGGAATACAGCACTGGAATAATTTTAAATGTCATGTGCATTTAAGGATACATTTAAAGACCTTTTCATAAAAAAATAACAATAATAATTATTAATTTCTGTTTAGTTTGAACTTTTCAGTATGTTATATTAAAGTATAGATATGATATGCATATATAGACAGTCATGCCAAACGTGTGTATATATATATATATATAAGCTTATTCTAAAAATCTATTGTTCCCTTTTAGGCACTAAAAAAAGGAAGCCCTTCATGGCAATTGCTTTGAAAACTGAATACAAGACAAGATAGACAGACAAAATGGTTAGAGCAAAGACGGGAGAGGGGGGAAAACAACAACCAGCTCTGCCACAGGAAGCCAGCAGCCATCCTCTAGGAGTTTCATGACTGTGGCCTACGGTTTTTCCTGCATGAAGTGCTGAACAATTTGGGGATCAAAGTATCTCCTGCATTTGAAGTGTGGATTAGTGCTCGTGAAATTATTGGACAAAAAGAAAATTATACTGAATTAAAGTAAGGGCCGAGTTCTTAATGCATGGTTGGCTGATGTGTCTGCAACACTAAAGGCAGGTTACACCTGAAAGACAAAAGTGACGATAAATTTGGTAACATCAAGGAGGGGAGGGGAAATCTGTTGGAGTAAGAAAATAAACTCTTTTAATGGTTAGGACCATCCAGCACCTTCTCAAAGAAACATGAACTTCTAGTCCCTGGACAGTCAACGTCTGCTCGCTCCAATTCTGCTAGAGTACTTGCAAAAGCCATGGCACGATTGACACAAAACCGGCATACGATGCTGCGTGACTCGTACGGACTGGCCAAAGCATCACTATTCACACGCACCGCCAGCTTAAGCGTGAGCAAGAGCACTACCAACCTCTTGGATTCACCAAGCTGCCTAGAAAGGTGATGATCAGACCTCTACTGCCATAATGGAGGAAAAGTAAACAACATACGAGGTTCAGTTTTCTTCCCTCATGACACCCCACCCCACCCACCCCAATAAAGCCTAAAATCATTTAGGAAAATGCTTAAGATTTGCAGTGGATGCTTTGTCACTGGTCTTCCATTGATTAGCCCTGTTTAAGTCAAGGGCACAGCTTTAATTTACATGAATCTTTGCAGTATCAAAACTTTAAAGAGGATGTATTTTTCAACTGAAACTATTTAGATGGTGTCCATTATCACAATGGAGGAGCAGTTGGCAGCCCTTAACTTCGTATGGTTCTCTAAGGTAGTGAGCAATGGTTACTCCCATTCCCAAATGGAATCCAAGACACAAGGATACAAATACCCTTGTCTACAATCACAGAGAAAGCCAGGGCAAAGCAAAGGAACTAACCCCCATTTTTTAATTTATTCTAAATATCCCTTTGCATGGGAATGCAGGCAGGTTAGATCCTCTTCCACAAGCATATGGTTTAGAATATTCATCCTGGTATCTCTGGTATCACTACATGCACAGATGTGTACGCTACCCTGAATCCTTATGCTTCATGACACCACAATACTTCTTCTGAACTCTTACATATGGATTCAGTTGTGCACTCAGGGCAGAAAACCTCAGGTGTCAAAACAAAAGAGTTGCCATTTCCTAGATTGTCAAGAGGATGTCACAAAATGTTCTTTTTTTTCTCTCTCACACTCACATACCAGTAACATCCCCCATATCTGATTTATCTCCAGTTGTGCACACATCCGGTGCCGCACCCTGGGCTATCAAAACACCTCCTGGTACCGATGTAATTCCGGCTGAATTGTTTCCAGAAGTGGTTTTGTACCTGACAGCGAGCTCCTGTCTACGTGGGCTGGTTAATAAGGACATTGCCGAAAATCTAAGTGAGATTTGGAGGTACCCAGCAAGCGACAGAATCAGGCTCTGTGCACTGTGGGAAGCCTCACCGTAAGTAATTATTTATTTAACGCCACTAATTGCACTGTGCTGGCGATGGCTGCTGGAATGACTGCGTGTCACCCATCGGGAATCGCAGTGCAGAGACCAGGAGGCACAAAGGAAAGGATGATGTGACACCGATGTCAGCGTAGACACATACCCGTGTTAGCAATAACTACAAGCCGCTATTTTTCAGAATAATTAAGTAATAATCTCTTTTACTTTGTAATACACCAAGCAATAAACTGGTGCTGCAATTGATTAAACGCCAAAGAAAAGCTAAGGTGTTTGATCAATCACTAGAGCCACTTACGGCAAATATAATACAAAGCTACAGAGATTATTGATATTACACAATGAGCCAGAAATAGGAAAGAAAATCATCCCTATTCCTTCCTCTGTGATGCCTTGAATGTGTTTGTGCTGCTTTGCTTAAGCTCTCTAAGCAGCGAGCACTTTGGCTCCACATTTAGCTGGACTAAATACGGAGCGCAGGCTTGGTTCAGCCTGCAAAGGGACATCACAGCTACCCCGGTCTCTACGCTGGGGATCTGGCTTGCTAAGTGTTGGAAAACGGACGGGGAATTGGTTGAAGCAGGTCTTAATGGGTCATAAATAAGCATTCGAAGGACTGGAAGAAAACAATGTGGGGAAACAGACTGATGTGACTTAAGAAAGGCAGGAATTCTATAAATTTCTGCTCTGAAATTATTTCAGTGAATGAGGTTGCGGCATGTCCCTCCACATCTGACCAAAGCTTTCCATGTTCCTTGTTTTCCTGTCTTAGAATATCAATATGCTCTGTGTGGTTCTTCTTCAGGTATTGGGACAGAGCCTTCTCTCAGCTTCTCTAGAGGAACTGCAATGAAGTGGCTAAAGCTGTATTATAAGACTAGAATTTAGTCCTGAAAAAGCACACACAGTGGTCTGGGGAAGATCCATAGGAATGTCTACAGCTGTGCCCCAAATAGCTAACCCTGCATCACATCAGGAGGAGTTTCCTCAGTGGCATTGGTAGATACAAACGTTTAGAAAAGTCTCCTCAGCAAAGCACTGACTTCTTCCTGTATGAGCTGTGAAAAGGTAATGGCTCTACCTGGTGTATTCACTCCTGTTCCCCCACTCCTGGCACAAACACTGGGTATATTTTGGGGATGAAGAGCCTGCCTGCCTTGTGTTTCAGTCTCACCTGAAGTCAGGCAATGTATAGTTTTTGTCCATGGACATCATTAAATGTGGCACATCCTGCTATTTGCCCTGCGAACTCTGAAGTTTAAACAGAATGATGTCATTTTATTGGCCTTGTAATCATTGCTCATATTATAAAGGTCACACATTTCACATTGTGGCAGAAAATCGATAGCTCTCCCAACAGCCTCTGGGGGAAAAAGTTTTGCTTCTGAAGAATAATATATAATAAACAATTTTAGTCCTTACTTTATCATGGCAGTAATCTTGGAGAATAGCTACAGTAAAAATCTGGCAAAGGCTGATATATAAACTCATTAAAATTAGGAAGTGATTTAGAACAGGACTTTTAAAAGATTTATCTTGAGCTAAACAGCAGAGGTTTGTTTAGGTCTACATTTAAACAAGCTCCGAGAGCTCTTTAACAGCTTAATTTTATGGTAGCTGTTGGGGAATTCTTTCAGATTTACAAATCATATATTTCTCTAGCAAGGTGAGAGACCCGAGCAACCTGCAAGTAGAACGGAACGTGCAGATAAGCAGGAAGCACAGATACACTCTAAATGGATAAGGGGGAGCTACTGAAAAATATTTTGTATTTTCTGGAATAATTAGATCTAACAGAATAAAGCTGAGGCCTTTGAACATACCCTGGCTACTTATCCTTCAACTTAATTACTTAAACTAGAGAAGACAAAGGCACAGGGAACCTTTTAAAGCAAAAGATGGCTTGACTACACTCTCAAATAAGAAATCAAAATCGGTGTCCCTTTCTGTTAGCTAATATATAGAAAAGAGCCAAAGTATTTAAATACTGCTAGCAGGAAAAATAACCCGAAAACCTCATTTGCAAGATCGGGAGTGGATCTGACAAAAGAAAAAGTAGAGGACTTTACATTTTTGGCATTCATTTGTCCTTGAAAATAATTTCCATACATGTAATACACACAGACAAGAATCAGCACTAGTGTTTTCATGCTTAATAGCGATGCAACCAAGTTTTCTGCATCTTGAGTTATAAATATATGTATATCTATGCGTTTTCCCTGCATTATTCGTATCACCACGTTTATGTAACAGAACTTCTGTGTGATTCAGTTCAAAACATTGAATAGCGAGATGCCTTGATTCGCAAAGCCGCATTTGGAGTCTGGCTAAAGGAGCTGTGTAAGTGAAACACCACTAGCACATCAATTTGTCAATTTATGGACAACGCTACCGCCTCTAATTCAGGCTTCCCTCATGGTTTGGATGTGCTGCCTTTAACCAACTCGCAACGTTATTTTGACTGACTAATGGTTTGGCTAGAGGCTCACTCAATTTTACATCAAATATGAAAAGCTACCTATCCCCGGTGCAGACGCCAGCCAACTCTCTGTTTACAAGCTATAGTCAGAAAGTCAAAACAAATTCTGGATGTTCAAAATGGAGCCATCTGCACGGAATAAACATGAAAAATGTGAAACATTTTATG